GGCGTTCGAAATGTTTGGATGCCCGTCTGATAATTTCTCCTCTGACTCTTGCCGCTCGCATCAGGTGGATCAGATCTTCCTTGGCGGGTGTCCAACACCTCGATGTAGTTTCAGCACCATCTTCTTCTCTTCGGGAGTTGGCTCATAACGTCATGATGAGGGCTGGCTTCTTGTTCAAACCGACGTTGACCCTCATTCCAAAGCAGCACATATGACATTCCACCTGAACATCGGGGAGCTGTTGCACTTCTTTCACCTCAGGCTCTAACCATGACTTGGCTCCTTTGGGCTGCTCATACGTGAACCACTTGCATTGCCATTTGGCCACTAGCATAGAGATCCTCATGTGGCGCAGTCCTTCGGCCACTATCACCATGAGCTTTGCAATGCTCATGCGGGCGTAGTTCACATTCTGCATGGGAGTGAATGCAATGCAGGGTGGACACAGAACCACCAGATCTGGTTGTTCCGTCTGGAGTCTCCTCCACATCTCTTGTACACGACCTCTGTCTCGGAGGTCCCAACCGGTGCAAGAGCGCACATGCCCTTGTTCTTCGCTAGCTCACATATTATTACTGGGAGGAGAGTACACTTCTGCGACTTGGGCGCGTTGTCGACTCTTTGCGGCAATCTTTTCAAGATCGGCCATATAAGCATCTTCTTTGTCTTGCGAGACAGAGCTTTCTCCTTCGTGATGTCGTCCACCTGCTCATTCAAAATGAATCTCTCATTGTAGCCCGCACTCTTACCATATAGTTTCCACTGAGGTCGATCTTGCCATAGCGCTCCTCCCAGACCTGGTATTCTTGGTTCCACATCTGATAGCGCTCTTCAGTGACAAAGAAACCTTTGCAGGCCTGTGGAGGCATCATAGCATTCAATCTCTTCTTTGCGTTCTTGCTGGAGGCAGTCAGCCAGCCTGCATGCTCTTCTCTCACGTCTCCCCAAGACTCTTCGTTCACAGCTCTCCACTCTCTCCGTCCGGAATCTGAATCATCTCGCCGCTTCCGGTGCGCGAGATTGGTTGGGATGGGACCCTGCGAGCGTCCCGGCGTGTCTGTTGAGGTTGTCCTTGGGCTCTTGGACGTCCTTCGGGTTCTCGGAACTGATCATGCTGAAGAACTCCACTGACATCGCATCGCTGGTCTCTCTGTTCTCCCACAGGAAGAAATCGCACTCCCTCTGGACGCACTTCCAGAACCTGTGGCCTTTCCAGGGTCCTTTGTTCTTGACTTCCAACCTCTGCGCCGGTGCATTGCTGGCACCTTCTGGACTCCTGGAGTGAGACTGATCGGAGAGCTTTGCAGCAGACCCGTTTGCTCCTCGGCCTTCTGAAGTGCGTTCACCAGAGCTTGTTGGCGAATATCTTTCTGTCTCAACTCGAACTGCTGTGCTTGGATCTCCTTCTGCATGAACTCCATTCTCCGCTCCAGCTCCATCTTGTCGATCTCTCCTTTGATCTTGGTTGGCGCAGACTGGAGTGGTAGGAGCTGATGCACTCGTGTCCTTGGCAACTTGGCTCAAGTGGCCCGTCATCTTCTTCTTGTCCTCCTTGAGGCTGTTCTTGATCTCGGAAGCTCTCAAAGTGCTCTGCCATCGGCTGTGACACTGCTTGCAGACGATGTACGAACTCGCCTGGTTGCCTCCACCTTTGAGAGAGCTCTTCGGGTGGACGCAGCTGCTTGCAGAGACCCTGGGCGCCTCCTTGGATTTCAAAGGATCCAAACGCTTGGCGTGCACGATCATCTGAGCGCACGTATCCTCCAAGGTTTCCTCTTCTGCCGAAGGCTGCGAGGGCAAGGCAACAGGCAAGTCGGGGAACCACTCTTGCACGATAGCCTAGTGGCCTAGTGTTCTACCAACACCATCATAGTGAAGATCTTGTCCATCAGCGCCCTCCAATTCTTGACTGCGACCTTGGCTCGATTTCCAGCTGGCATCTTGTTCTTGTCTCCGGCCTTGGAAGGCGCCGGAGTTCCCTGAGCCAACTTTTGAAGTCTTCCCATCATCGAGGCCATGAGCACAGAAGGACGAACTCACGAACTGACACTTGGAGGGGCTTTGTTGCGAATTGGTAGCTCTCGAGCGAGCTGTCATGATTCCGAAAAATCGCATGGGCTCAATCCTCTCTCACGAAGTTCATTCGGCATCTCAGAACCACCTATGTGAAAATGCAACACATCGACGACCACGTGGCCACAGGACAACTCACGCATGGGAATGACCGTCTGACGCAACTCGCTTTAAAGGTGTACTTCCGAAAATCCAAAACAACTCTCAAGTGCTTCAGCAATTGAACAGGCAGCAAAAGGGGGACTTCCCCTTCAACGACCGTGCACTCTAACCCCGTTCTCGCCGCCCAGACCGATTGGAAGCAATGCGACTCCCAGCACCGCAGCACTACCACCAACTCCTTTTGCTGAAGATTGTTTTTGGGTCCAGACTATTTTCAAACCACGATGTGAAAGAGCATGACAAAACCTCTTCAATGCTATCGAACCAATCAGTCCACCCTCTGCGGCTGTGTCAACAACTCCTTCATGAGAGCTGGTGGTAATACCACAAAAGGTGCTTTTGCCAGTCACCTCGAGATGAGGCAAGAAAAAGTCTTTCAACCTTTGCATCACATTTCGAACACCATCTTCGCAAGCTATATGTCCTCGAAGGACATCTCTTCGAGCGCTAGCTTAGCCAGTCCAGTCATGGACCGAAGCAGCTTCGCGCCTCTCTTGTTGCGGGGAACCCCAGTCTCGAATTCCCACAGCCTCACACTCTTCTCACAGCTCTTGAACGTGGCCTCTGGGTCAGCGCCATCGTAACTGGCTGGGGGATCCCTATCCCGGTAGTGACTCCCTTCTGCACTTCCAGGTTCACCAACCGTCGTGGCCGCCTCTCCATCTGCAGCTTCACTGGTTCTCCCGGCCATGATGTTCCCAAGCTCCGCGGTACCACTGTTGCACCGCACGATCAACGGGCTCAAACACATGAAGGGTTTTCCATCAAAAGCAAACAGTCGGGGTCGTACGGGCCACTAGGACAAACCGAAAGGTTCCGCGGAGCTCAGGTCAAAGCATGGTTCGCGAACGAAAAACATTTGACAGAAGCTTTAAAGTATATAGGCTAGGTATCGTTTTTTGGAACTGCTATCGTTTTTCAATCCGTTGTCTGTTGCTTAGTTTTTTGGGGAGGTGTCGTCTGCATGTAAGGTCAACAAACTGTGCAATTCGTATTTGCCAAGGTTTGCAGTGGGTTTGCGAATGATGGTCGGGAGTCAACCGTGAGCCGGGAAGAAACACAATTGGCTGATTGCAAGTTCCCACAGTCGGAAGTCAGAACCATGCAAGTTGGCAGCTGGCTTCCCGAGGCATCCAGACATACAGCGCACCGTCATTTTCGGCATCGTTTTCTCTACTGCGCCGTGTAAGCAGGAAAAACAAAGGTATCATTATAATCTATCTAGGTTCTACATACGGTGAAGAGGCTACACAGCGATAATCGACATGACGCCAAGATGTGTACAGTCATAAGGCTAGGTATCGGTCTTGGGATTGAATTTTTTCAGCCGAAAATGAAAACTTCCATGTTTTCTGTGGATACGAGCTCTGACCTCAGACTCTTGTGGGGCATTCTTGCAATGCACTCTTGCGAGCACGCCATCTTAGTGAGGCATCAAGACTTCGAAGCAAGCAGATGTCTCCCAAAAGTCACGTCAAGTCATTTCCTACGAGACGTCCTTCAAAAGTGACGCGTCAAGTCTTCAAAACGAGCAGTTCGATCGAAGGAGCTTCCTCCAAAA